GAAACATGTATATTATCTAGGGTGAAACAGATCACCAGCCCAGGTTGGGTGCATGAGACAAGTGCTCGGGCCTGGTGCACTGGGAAGACCCAGAGGGATCGGGTGGAGAGGGAGGTGGGAGGGGGGACCGGGATGGGGAATACATGTAAATCCATGGCTAATTCATTTCAATGTATGACAAAAACTACTGTAATGATGTAAAGTAATTAGCCTCCAACTAATAAAAATAAATGGAAAAAAAAAAAAAAAAAGACCTCCTTTGCTAGTAAATCACATTCCCAGGTATGCGGGTTGGAATTTCAAGCCACCTGTTTGCAGGATATGTTTCAATGCATAACAATCATTGTCCCCGGAGCCTAGCAATTATACTTCCCGGGATAGATCCTAGAGACCTTGTGTATGTTTAAGGATGTCAATGAAATGTTATTGGCAACAACCTAGTTGCCTATCAATAGAAAATTAAACGTATGTGCTGTTATAGTCATGCAGTGAAGAATTACAGACTGCTGACCTGAATGAGCTCAGTTTATAGGTATCCACACATATGACCTCAAGAACATAAAAAAGCAAGTTACAGAACTATAAGTGTAATATGGAGCTGTTTAGATAAAATTTTATTTTATTTATTATATTTAAAGAAATGATCGTATTTACTTATTTTTTTTATTGCTTTGGCTGTGCCCTGCAGCATGCAGGATCTTAGTTCCCCAACCAGGAGTCCAATCCATAGCTCCTGTGTTGGAAGACTGAGTCTTAACCCCTGACTCAGTCTTCTTAACCACTGGACTGCCAGGGAAGTCCCTAGGTAAAATTTGAAAATACACAAAACCATAGCATACATTTACTCATAAACATATGTAAATGTTTGAAAGAATGCACCACAGATACAGTTGAGTTCAGGATCAGGAGGGCACAAGAGGGTGTTTGCCCTTGTGGAGAGAATAAGACAACTTTGTCATATTTGCTGCATAAAAAATTACAGGAAATATTACCAATTATCACCATTCTGGGTGTGGAACTCTGTAATAAATACATTTTACTTTCTCATAAGAAAGCAAATTTGAGCTACTGGTATGAAAGGTGAATTGGAAAGGACAGTTGGTAGGGGTGGGGTTGTTATTTAGTCACCGAGTCATGTCCAGCTCTTTGTGATCCCATGGACTGTAGCCCACCAGACACTCCTCTGTCCATGGGATGCTCCAGGCAGGAATACTGGAGTGGGTTGCCATTTCCTTCTCCAGGGGATCTTCCAGAGCTATGAACCTGTCTCTTCTCCACTGGCAGGTGGATTCTTTACCACTGAGCCACCAGGAAAGTCCAAGGAATAGGGAGGCAAGGTCAAAAGAAGGCTGACAATAAACCAGGCAAGAAATTGTTGATTGTCTGAGTTCAGTTAGAAGTAGCAATGATGGAGAAAAGGTTACAGATCTGGACATATCAAGGAGGAAGAATCAAAAGTGTTTGGTGATTAAAATGCAGGTAGAAGTAGAAAAGGAATCTGAAATAATTTCCAGTGTATCAGTTAAAATTAGGCTTCTCTTCATGTAATAGAGACCCAAAATAATAGGCTTAATCAAGATAAAATGTATTTCTCTAACTTAAAAATCTGGAGATAGGCAGTCCAGGGCCAGTATGGCATTTCTGCCCCACACAGCCCTCAGCAACCCAGCTTGTGCCTCCACCCTCTGTAAGGTGTGGCCCTTACCCAGTGGTCCAAGGAGGCAGTCACAGCTTTAGCCACCACGTTTCCATTCCAAGCAGGAGTCTAAAGGAAGAGACACACACACACACAAATCAAGTACAAAGGATACACAGTATTACCTTTTTTTTTTTTTTGGCAGGTGGTTTTCGTGATCTTAGTTCCCTGACCCCAGCTCTTGGCAGTGAAAGCATGGAGTCCTAACCACTGGAATGCCAGGGAATTCTCAACCAGTTGCCTTTTAAGGAAGCTATAATAGGACGAGGCAGAATGTGGCAAAGATGAGTTGGAGGAGAGAGAGCCGGGGAGGGCCCGGGAGGGAGGACTCAGTGCCAGCTGTGGAAATCAGGGAAGCCTTCATGGAGGAGATGGCATTTGATCTGAACTTTGTAGGATGTATGATGGTTCGCATGTTGGGGAGGAAGGAAGGAGAAAACATGGCCAGTGCCCCACCTCACTGTCTAACTTATCCCTGCTGCCCCCACTGGTTCCTGTCTTTCTTCTCAACATCATCAGGTTGGCTTTCCTCCTTCTGCCTCTTATCTTCAGAAGACAGTGGCTAGTTGGCTTCCCTCTTTTGACTGATCACCTCTTCCGGCCATTTCCTGGTTTGTTGTTTTTTTTTTCACCCTCTTACCTCCCACTCCAAACCCTACTATTAATGACCTGGACTCCCGAATCCTGCATTTCAGATTTTGGTCCTCATCTGCTAATTAGCTGGGAAAGATCGAAGGCAGGAAGAGAAGGGGATGACAGAGGATGAGTTGGTTGAATGGCATACTAACTCAATGGACATGAGTTTGAACAAGCTCTGGGAGTTGGTGATGACAGGGAAGCCTGGTGTGCTGCAGTTCATGGAGGTTGCAAGGATTTGGACACGACTGACTGAGTGACTGAACTGAACTGACTGAATTCTTTTATCCATCTATCTGCCATTGCAATCAGAGAGCCTCTGGCAGCTTCCTCTGCCTTCAAGTCAACCATGTATCTGTACTTTATTTATATTCTCTTTATTTTACATATAAACTTCCAAGTAAGCATTCATATATATATATATATATATATATATATATGTCAAGTTAATCAGTTTGTTTTTTTTTTTTTTTTTTTGGCTATGCTGTGTGGCTTTGGGATCTTAGTTCCCTGACCAGGGATTGAACCTGGGCCCTTGGCAGTAAAAACATGGAGTCCTAACCATTGGACTGCCAGGGAGTTACCGTTCCCTTTAAATCAGTTTTAACAAACCACATGTAAGCCCTTGGTCCAGGCAGTCTGGGTGATGTTTGGATTCAGGCATTCACAGGCTCTGGATTCCAGCAGTTGGAAATGACTATTGATAATATCATGCCCTGTTACATGACGTCTGGAGCCTTTCTCCCATTTTCTGGTCACCCTCAGGCAGGCTCAGAGGAAGTGTTTCCATGAACTTTTCTGAGCTCAGAAAAGTCAGCCCCTTGGGCTCCAGGTAGATCCAAATGTTTATTGGATTCTCCTGGGTGAAAGGGGGCAGGAATGTCTAATAGTGAGGAGATCCTGAGTCAAAGAAATTCTTCTCCATACTCAACCC